GGTGTGAGGATATCAGAAAGGCTAAAAGGAAGATAAGTAATGGAAAGGGGTGGGTTAAAAGAGAAGGGAACCAGAGAGAACGGGGATAGAAAGGCAGACAAGGCGTTAGGGGGCGAGGATAAAGGGCTGGTGTCCCCTTCTAGAGCAGGGAGGTCTGAGGAAGTAGGTGCAAGACCCTTCAAGGTGGCTAGGTGGGACAGATGGCGAAGGATTGAAGGAAGAGAGAGGCGGTGGTGTGGCCTCGTCGGCTGAGATGGGGTTAGGTGAAATGGAAGGCTGGGGAGTGAGGGAAGAAAGGGAAGATGATGTGTCCACATCACTAGAAGAGGGGCTAGGCGGAGCCGGCGCAGGGGACAAATGGCCTTTGGGGGAAGGCGCGGGTGACAAATGGCGAGGAACAACAACCAAGGGAGACAGGTTGGTAGGAGGCGACGACGTGGGGGACAGGTGGGCTGCTGAAGACAGCTCCGTCGCAGGGTTATCATGGGATGTCGGTAGGCACAAAGAAGCCTCAGACGACACGTGCCCTTCTTTGCGCCTACCGACATCCCATGATAACCCTGCGACGGAGCCGTCTTCAGCAGCCCACCTGTCCCCACGCCGTCGCCTCCTGTCAACCTGTCTCCCTCGGTTGCTGTTTCCCGCCATTTGTCACCCGCGCCTTCCCCCAAAGGCCATCTGTCCCCTGCGCTGCGTCTGCCTACCCTCTCTTCTGGCGATGTGGACACATCATCCTCCCTTTCTTCCCTCGCTCCCCAGCCGTTCATTTCACCTAACCCCATCTCAGCCGACGAGGCCACTCCACCCCCTCTCTGTTCCTTCAATCATTCGCCATCTGTCCCACCTAACCCTTGAAGGGTTGTATCTTGCACCTACTTCCTCAGACCTCCCTGCTCTAGAAGGGGACACCGACCCTTTATCCCAGCTCCCAAACGTCTCGTCTACCTTTCCATCCTCCTACACATAAAAATTGTTATGATTTAAAGCATGAAATTGAAATACCATATCATGAATCGTGCATGTAAACTGAGTGATCTAGCAAAAGAAATATTAAATCGGTTTGGAAGAAATGGACTTTTCTAAAAGTAGGACTATGTGACTTTGGCAAGTGAATACCCATTAAAAATTTTCTATCTTTTCTTTTGTATTACGACCCGAATCACTTACAAGTCTCCAAATACAATATATGAACCAAATAAACCACAAGAATACCAATGACTCTCACTTGCTTGTCAGCAAAACAAAAATAGATTCATAACATGAATCTGAAAATTACATAAGACTTGCAATAGAATCAAGAAACCTGAAATAAATAGAATATTGTATACGTTGCCTTAAATTACCCCTAAAGACTTAATACACCCCACACCAGGTCTCCTCCACCAATGGTACACGAGATCTAGGCCCAAACTTGTCTCACAACTTGGGAAGCCTAGGCAAATCCAATAGAGAGTATGACATTGTCTAAACTAGACTAAGGCTCAATGCATGAGCATAAGGTCAACACCTATGGGCTAGGGCGTGCCACTACTTGTGGCTTGGGTGTGCCACCCCCCAGGGTTTTCTCAACTCCTAAAACGAAGTTAGAGAGAGAAATAGAGAGATTAGAGAGGGGCATGCTGCCCCTTTAGTTCAGAGAGAGAGACTAAATTAAGAGGTGTAGATAATGAGGCCCCCATATAGCTAGTATATATATCATAGAGGCTAGGGTTTTTAGGGTTAGGCATTTGCCATCATTATGAGATTCAATCTTGACCTTTGATCATGGAGACTTGTGGGGTGAAGAGATTTTATCCATCCATTTGGTAGATCAGCCATTAGGATAAAAAGGAATGAGGTGGAACCAGTACCCCTCAATTTCCATAACTCTATTCCCATCAAATATTGTGTAGAGAAAATACTAAAACATTCCGATTAATCTCTTACACTTTTCCTTTTGAAATGAATCAAAATCTCTACAACACACTTTCCTAAAATTTTCAAATCACGAGGATGGATTATTACACAAGCCATAAACTAGGAAAGAAAGGAAGAGGAGGTGGGATGCCTCACCTTATGGGTGGCCATGTGGGCCTCACGCCACACTAGTGTTGCACCCAATGAACCCCAATGGCCCCCCAACACTTTAAACAAAAATTTCAGATATTAAAATAAATTTTATGAAGCTACTAAATATTTTATTTTTCTTTTTGATTAAAATAAATCCAGAAAATTGATTTTTACTATAAAAAAATTATTTTTCAATAAAATAAAATACCAGGAGAGATCTAAAAGTTTATTTTAATTATCTAAAATATAATTAAAACATAATTAAATATATTTAAGAAGATTTGATGAGAATTGGATTCATAGAGTTAGGATTACAACAAATATATGGAGTACTCTATTTTTTCTAGAAACCATATCTCATTGCACCTTCTCAAACTGGCCCAATAGTTCCTATGACTCACAACCCTTCACAGGGGTTCATGATTAGACTATCAAAGTCCACCAATAATTGAAGGAGACATGATCCTAGTTCATGGATTATAGGTTCTTCCTTGAGGACAAGGCCAAGCCCCATTCTAGCACGTTGCTCGATGGGTCCTTCTAACATAGTTTAGTGTTGAAGGGAGTCATCTCTTCGGCACATGTACATAACACGCACCCTTATCCAAAAGGTCGCTTCTCGGACGACTATCTAGTGTACATGTCGTGTGATGACAATGATGAGTATTTGGGCCCTTGTCCTCTCCGACAAACCATCACAAACAGTGGTCGCATCCAATCCCTTGGCCAACTTCCCTGGGCACAACTCCGACCTCATCAAGGGTAGCCTCATAGCGAAACCCTTATCGGTTGTGCTCAAAATGGTCAGGGCCATAGCCAGTCTACGCATACATGAGTCTTGACATTAATAATGCCTTAGAATCCAATGTGGACCACACTCTCACCAGAGCCAACATTTCATTATAATAATTTCAATACTTGCTCTCATATGGCCTTTAAATGGCCACATAACCCTAACACCCATTGATTTGGTTCCTCGATCTAAATATCACAAATATTACGAAAGTGGAGCCTACTCATGCAATGATTTGATAAGGCAATAACTAAATTAATGCAAAAAAAATTATAAAAAAGTATGAATCATACAAGTAAAGTAACTCATGCCAAAAATAATAAAAACAAAAAGGGTTTCGGGGCGATGGACTTTTTTCCATTGAATTGTTCCCTCAAACTAAAAGTCAACATGGGAGAATAACCCAAAAGTTGATAATATATCAAAAAACATATAATAAAATATCAAAAACAATGAGCTAAAAGCAAGGAATAACATATCGTAATACGTTTTGCACAAAAAATACATAACCCTAATTAAATATATTGAAATGCACCTCAAAATGGAATCCATATCGGCCCAAATCAGAACTTTTTGTCTCTAAAATTCTCCTCTTTTGCAACTATTTTAAGCTTTGAAATTTTTTGGGATGAATATCCTTCGATTTTGCAAGGATTTGTGGAGGTTGAAAAAGTTATTTGATATTTTGAAAAATCTTCAAATCCTTATTTTTGAAGAGTTTTTCTCTTTCTAAAACTCATTACAAGGGTTTTGGGGGGCAAGAATGCCCCCCAAAACTCTCTCCCCCCATTTTTCAGGGGGAAATTACCAAAAAACCCTTGGTAGGGCCATTTTCTGCCTTCAGGCAAGGGCGTGTGAGGCTCCGAGGCTGCTTGGTGGCCGACTTTTTCAACCTTGGGAGCAACAAATAATTCTTGTTGTAATCGTTAATAATTTTCTATGTGCTTATGAATGTGGCTAAAGAAACCCTACCTTTTTGAGAACTCAAGTGGGTTTGGGATCTCTCAGATGTAATAGTAATTGCACAATGCTGAATGGAGTTGGACCACCTTGGAGCACCTTATGCAAATTTGGTTTTTCTTGAAACACCTCATCAAAGCTTCTTTAGGTTGTCAAATCCAATTAATAATTACAACACTTTCCAGATAGGGAAAAAACATGCAAGCAAGATGGAGAACCACAAAGAAATGGTGTGAGAAACTTAAATTCCATTGATCACAATGAAACACAAAAAGTGGTCTATATAGATTTTACTACAACCATCTGCAGCCAAAATGCTTTTGGGTAATTATAACCATATACCAATATTAGCAAACTTGGCAAGTCCGATTCAGACTCGCCCGAGTTACCTAGGCTTCACTGGCTTGCTGTTACAGGGGGTGGGAGGTTTGTTATATTACATTGCAAAAAATGTAAAATGTATAGTAATTAGTCCTTTTGTCTCTAGTATAAATTTACAATTGACAAGAAGACGAAAATATTCAATAAAAACAAAATGTACAGTAAAAAGTATTCAATAAACTAAAGGACTCTTACTAGGGCAAACTTTTAAAATATGTATACTTGTTCACTAAAACAGTATCACCCCAAAACTCAAGGTGTTAACTTTTCCTAATTAAGCGATTCTCCTAATTTTATTTTTCACCCATTTTTCTATTGCTTTTTTTTGGAATATTTCCTTGTTTTTGTGATTATTTTAGGCTCTTTTCAAGCTTGGCGTGGTTCAAGCGGGTTAAATTGAACTCGCTCAAAATATTTTTAAGGATGAGTTTGTCACTCTTTCTTCTAAATGTGATGTTTTTTAGTGGCGCACAATTGAGTTTGGACCAACCATGAGTGTCAATTTGAGGAATTAATTTTTGTTATGACAAGTTTGTATGTATTATTGGAATTTGGAATGAGTATCCATATGGCCATTTATTGTGGAATACATTGGATTCTATTATTCTATTATTTGTCAAGTGAACATGGTTTATTTGTTCCTTGATTATGCTCATTTATTTTCTAAAATAGTTTTTCTGAGGTGTCTTATGTAGTTATTGGCTTATTATATTGTGTCTTAAGTAGGAAGTTTTCTTCTTGAGGGTTTGGATATCAATTTTTGTTTTTCACTAAAATATTATCATAATTCTTATATAGTCTCCTTTACTGTTTTAAGGAAGTCAGTCACTTCGGTTTTTGCTGCATATGATGCTTTATGTGAAGAAGGAACTGCCACATCTGTATGTAGGGCCCTTGATGAAGTTGCTGATGTCTCTGTACCCGGTAATTATCTCAATAGATTTATGTTCTTAATTCATGAACTAAATTTTGTATGGCAAGCATGGAATGGTCTCTTTATTTTTGTCTTCAGAATAGTTAGTTGTTACAATACATTGATATGTGAAATTGGATTCCGAAAGGGTTTCTAGGAAGTAAATCCGTCAAAGAACCATCTAGCCCATGGCCTAAGTTACAGGCTTAAGGACCCTATGACGAAACTGCCATTAAATGAGTGCAAATCTGCCAGTGTGTGGAATCGCAATCATTATTAAAAAATGCCTACGTGGCTTACATGCGGGAACCAAAAAGAAGTTTGTGTAGTATTGCCATGACAAGAGAATTGAAATAAAACGATTACCAAGAAGACCCTCAATCCGCAAAGATGAAAATAACTCGTATTTCTGGTTGATGTAGATGATGAAGCTAAAATTTCACAAATTTCCTATTTTATATTTTCTTTACAAATAACAATTTTATATGTATGAAGTGGAATAGAGCACCTGGCCACTTAAAAAGAGTGGAGGAACAACTCGGATTCCCTGCCATTTTTATGTTCTCTTGAAAGTCGGCGTGAAATTACTCTATTTAGCCTGCTGTTTTTATGTTCTCGGGCTAGGGCACTGATGCATCCCTATGGTAAGGTGCTAGGCATGCACCCCGGCAGACACCAAGCCGCTTTTTACGTGACTCAATTGGGTGCCCACCTAGGCTAATACGGTTCTGTGGGACGCTTGATTTTCCATGTGGCCCTTCTATGCGTAAGGCACCCAAATTTTAAAATATTGATGACCAGCTCTGGAAGATCCATAATTAATATTGGCCAGTTTCCTCCAATATCAACAATCCTTAACCTTATATTTCCATGTACAAATTATCCTTAGTTTTGCATTCTATGGCACTTGCCCATTCACAAGGCCTCTCTACCTCTTATTTCTACTTGAACCCCGCATTGAATGTCGTCTCTTCATCTGGGCCCAGGAATGGTGTCTAAAAGAGTCACGAAAACCCCAAATCCACTAGGGCATGGGCATGTGGCTCTATTGTTATGTGAGGGTTGAGGGCTGTCCCTCTGTTGAAGTTTACCGCCCCCTAGTGGAATGTGTAGCCAACACATGTTCAGGTAGCACGATATGGATGTGGTTTTGGTAGCATGATATATATATATATATATATATATATGGAATACTCTTCCCAACGCCTATAGGCGAAAATGAACAGTGATGTCGCGTACCTTCATCCCCATCCAAACTTCATCGCACGGTCACAGTTGTTAGGTAGAGTTTCAATTTTCATTTTTTTCAACTTCAAATTACTTGAAACTTGTAGCGTATGTACATCTTAGTGAGGCACATCTAATAAAAATATGCAAAACCTAATTTGTAAAATATAAATTAACCAAAATACCCCCAAAAATTTACGGGGGTATTTTGGTCAATTTATATTTTGCTAATTATTTTTTCAATATTTTTATTAGGTGCGCCTGACTAAGACGTACACACACTCCAAGATCATTCAGATTAGTAAAAAAAAATGAAAATTGAAAGACTACTAGACATTTGTGACCAATCGATGAAGTTTGGATGGTGATGAGGGTCGGCAAAATCACTGTTCATTTTCTTCTATCGGCGTTTTGTAGTATCTTCCATATATATATATATATATGTTTTTGGTTCTGTGCTAAAACCTCGACACTTGTCAACCCACAACATGTGCATATTACATCCTTTTTTGGGAAGTTGCCCTTCCAGCTGATCTATTAGATGTGGAGTATGCGCGTGTGCTCGAGAGAGGAAGCACCGCACCTTGCATAATGGGGCTTTGTGATACTTGTCCATTTGGGGTGCACTTAAAATCCACTAAATCTTAAAATCCACTACATCTTGGAATTGCACCATCTGTAGGTAGGCTTTGATGGTCAAGCGTGAGCCCTAGATTGTGGGTCATGGTTTCCGTTGACTCGGTGTGATAAAATGCTATTGAGTTTCTGGATAAGCGAAAGTGAGTGCCTTGGTATTATGCGTTTGTATCACACCCAAATGTACTTAATTCCCCTTCATAATTTTACTAATGGGTGCGGTTTGTATAGAGCCTAGGCTTGAAACAATTAAATTAGAGCCTACCTTCATATAGTGGCGAGAAATGTGGTTTCAATACCGAAAATCATTGTGATAGGCTTAAAATATATTTTCATCTTTATTTATAAAGTTTAAAGCTGCAAAAATAGTGTAGATTGACATATACTATGAAAATTTGAAAATCTTGAAAATTGACTGTCCAAAAATGCATGACAAAAATAATATTTTCAAAACTTGAAATCCATTTTTTCTCATGTCCATGCATCTTGATGTCGAGATGATCAATTTGAGGATATTTGGGCATCAAAACAACCTCTTCTAGTGAAATTTTGAGGTAGGCTCTAATTTGATTGTTTAGATCCTCGGCTCTATATAAACTTTTCCCTTTTCTAATTGCCCAAGTTATTTTATATTGTTAAAGCAAACTTAAAATTGTTTTCTTAGTAATTTTTGGGATTTTATATAATTTTATTTAAGCCTTTTCTGAGGACATGAAAATATTTTTCAAAATTCTAATTCAGGACATACGGAGAACTTAGGCCCCACATGCACACAAAGGGGCCACACGTTTGGCATGTGTATGTCATCATCATGACATCACCTTGGTGGGGTGTGTAAATAACCCCTTTTGGCATGTGTTTGACATCATCATGATATCACCTTGCATGACAATTGTCATGCTCTCCTTAATTCTATGGGAAATCTTTGAGAGAGAGAGAGAGAGAGAGAGAGAGAGAGAGAGAGAGAGAGAGAGAGAGAGAGAGAGAGAGAGAGAGAGAGAGAGAGAG